TATTGCTGTTCTAAGTCGGCTTTACTCAAGTTATTCCAAGGGATATTCATCGTGCACATTTCCCACATCAGCAGGGTCAGGCTGTAAATATCAGTAGCTATTGACGCCTCGTGACCACTGAGAAGTTCAGGTGCCTGCCATTTGAAGATCTCTGAGCGTAGGCGATCTTCATATTCATGGAATGTCTTTGGCTGTAATCAATTGAAATTCAATTTTTTGGTAAATCATTAACGGTTAAGCAATCAAGTATTATTATCAAATTATAATTAAATCTGTTTAAATTTCGAGTTTCAGGATTCCAGAATTTTTTAAATTTTGAAATCGTTTGATTTTTGGAACGAAAATTTCGTGGCGTAAATCAATGTTATCACTTTACGAATACAAAATAGCTGCCAAAGTGTGAAATGCAAAATACTCTGAATTACAATAACTTTTACGGAAACGTTTGCGGTGAATATAGACTGCGGAGGAATTACGACTTTCACTGAGCTGTTAGGAAGTGCCATTTTTATGTATCCAGTTTACTATGCAACAAGAATTTTAATTTTAAAACGTGCTTGTATAATCCGTATTGAAGGGTTCGGCTCCCCATTGATGGCCGCTGAACTGGCCGATCGACATTCTTGTGTAATGTATTTCCGGTTGTGTATGTGAATTGCAACCTACCGGATGAGAAACCAATCGATCGGGATGTTGTGAGAAGTGAATAAATTTGCTGACTTACTCCAGCGACATTGGTAGCTAATTCCCAGCCTCCAAGTTTAACCATTCCCGTCGATGCGAGGAAGACGCAGTGAGAACTTATGGCACTGTGGATGTATCCCCGCATGTGAGCATGTTTCAGGGCTGCTGCCAGACTTCCTGCACATTTGGCAACACCCTGCACCGAAATTCGTTCACCCTGCTCGTGAATGTAGTTGAAAAGAGTGCAGTCTACCGGCTCGAATATCGCTACTAGACCGTGCTCCTCAGTATGAGTTGTGCCCATCAGCAGTAAAACGTTCGAGTGACGAATTTCTCTGTTTTAAACAAATCAAGAAATTTTCATATTAAACGAAATTATTTCATATAAAAATGAAAATTTCTTGAATTATTCATTAATTACCCGATTTCGACAACGAAATTAGAATGCGAATTAATTAGCAAGTTAGAATAATTGATGTTCTAAATTATTTTTATACCCTTCGATTTTAGGTACACGATATGCATATGGAAGTATTACTCACGAAAGTACTTCCAGATCTGCCCTCACAGCATTCTTACAATCAGGATGAATATGTCGTCTCAGTGAGACCCTCGTGTTATGCCATTCTGCAGAAATAAGTTCCAGATAGCGATCCTCAGTGCCTGCCACCCAGCCAATCTCAAAAATATCCGGTCCAGGTGCGTATGGCACACCAGGCATCATAACTTCTTTATTATTGTTTTTGTTTTTACTGTTCTGATAATTCTTCTTGGCAAGCAAATCAAGCCTAGCTTTATCCGGACTGTTTGTGGCTACAAGGAAACTTGAATCACTTGGACTTTTTCGCCTCTCGATGAACGCTTGAATCGCATTTCTGTACGCATCGCTAAAAAAAAATAAACATCATGAAGGGTTAGGGGAGCTTAAACAATTCTGTAATATTGACAATTGTTTAAAAATTCGTTGAATAATTATCATTTTGCGGCAGAAAGAGGTTGTGACTCTTTGTGAATAAATCAGAGTTTTTTTTATGAAACATACGATGCTGCCATCATGTCACTTCTTCCAACGATTTCATGAATTAACCGGTCACGTTGATGTTCACTACTCTTCACTCTAATTCCTGTAGTTATGATTACTTTTCGGCCGTGAAGATGGACTACTTTTTGAAACTTTTTCGTGTAAAATCCACTGATCGTTTGTCGCGATGAGGATGACATGGCTGGATTCGTCTGCAGTGCTCATTTCATTCACCGATCACCAAGATTGTTTACATTCAATTCCGACAAACCAGTCACGTGATTGAGGAAATACAATATACTGTTACGCGATGAAAATTTGAGACAAGAAATTTTTAGTGTCCATTTTGTATTTATTGGCAATTTTTAGAGGCTAATTTACTGCAATTACGGTTTCAGGGAGCGAATTTTTTCAATAGAATAGAAATCCTTTTTTGGTAACACGTGATTTCGATTGGATTGAGTGAGAGGAAGAAAGAATCAGCTTCGACGTTGATTAGAATTAGAAACAGTAAAAGTCATTATAATTAATTGGACTTACTTATTGAGACCATCGAATTTCGGGGACAGGTTCCGGCGATGTCGATCACGTTGAACGATGTCCCTGAAAAAAAA